TGGCACAATGGAAGACACAGTTGCTGGTCAATGGTGATAGACTGGGAGAGGGTAATATCAAGAGATGAATCTTTCAAGGAGACTCACTAGCTCACTACTGTTTGTCATTGCATTGATTCCTCTGTCAACAATACTGAACAAGTTAGGCCATGGCTATCAAACATCAAAAGCATCTGCCAGGCTATCCTACCTCCTTTACATGGACTATCTGAAGCTGTATGAAAAAACACCATCTGAAATAGAATCACTGCTCAACAGTGTCTGAATATAGAGCCAAGATATTACAATGGAGTTTGGACTGGACAGATGTGCCCCCCATACCATCAATAGGGGCAAAATAGTGAAAACTGAAGGAATCAGGATGCCCTGTGGAAATAACATCAAGAGGCTGGATGAAGAAGATCACTCACTACAAACACCTGGGCATCCTTCAAGCGACAACATCAAGCACATTAAAGTCAAGAAGAAGGTTAGTAGATGCATACAAAGTGATCGTGAGAGTGAAGAATATCTTAGTCTAAACTCAGTGGAGGAAATGCCATCAGTGCAATTAACACCTGGGCAATTCCAGTCATTAGATACACAGCTGGAATAGTGGACTGGACTCAAGCAGAACTAGAAGCCCAGGATAGGAAGACCAGAAAAATAATGGCAATGAATCATGCCCTTCGTCTACACAGCAACATTGACAGACTCTACTTACCAAATAGGGTAAGTGGGTGTTGAATATTGCAAGCATACCAGACAGTTGAAGAAGAAAAAAGGACATTGGAAGAATATCTGAAGGACAGTGAAGAAGATGCACTGAAGCTACTATACCATGAAGGCTTACTGAATACTGAAGACTGGCCTACAAGAAAGACCAAATGAAGAATAGAAAAGAGACATGGCAAAGCAAAGTATTACATGGCCAATACACAAAAGAAACTAGCAGAAAAAGCAGATAACAACAAGACCTGGCAATGGCTAAGAGCAGGAAAGTTGAAGAAAGAGATGGAGGAGCTAATTGTGACTGCACAAGACAAGACCTATGAACAAATGCATACAAAGCCAGAATTGAGAAGACAGCAACCGCAGCAAATGCTGCCTCTGCAAAGAAGCTGAAGGAACAGTGGACCTCCTAGTCAGCTGCTGCAAGAAGATCGCACAGACTGACTACAAACAACAGCATGACAAAGTGGCAACAATGGTGCATTGGAATGTCTGCAAGAAATACCATTGGCCTGCAAACAAGAACTGGTAGAATCACAAAACAGATAAAGTAATAGAAAATGAAGAAGCTGAGTTCCCTGGGACCTTAGAATTCAAACAGACAAGCCCCTGCCATATTAACACCCGTGAGTTAAAAATTGTTGATAAGAAAGACAAAAAAGCCTGGATAGTGGACATTGCAATATCTAGAAACAGCAGAATAGAAGACAAAGAACTGGAAAAAATCACAAAATACAAAGACCTGCAAATAGAAGTAGAACAGTTTTGGGAAAAGAAAGCAAAGATAGTACCAGTAGTTATAGGCTCCTTAGGTGCAATCCCAAAACATCTGGAGCACCACTTGAAGACCATCTGCATTGACAAAATCACTATCAGTCAATTGCAAAAGGCAGCTTTACTTGGAATGGCTTACATCCTGTGACAACACCTTTAACACCATCAAACAACAACATCTGCCTATCCCAGGTCCTTGGGAAGGACTTGGATAAAAATGCCAAATCCAGTCTAAATATCTGTCTGACTATGCGACCAACCAAAATAAATAATTCCAGAGGTGTGTTTGGACTATAGGCTGACAAATATTTTTATGCATTATGCATTAGTATTGCTCTCTCAAGCACATAGTCTAGATAATACTTGGATGGGACCCGTCAGAGAATCCCAGGGTGATAGGCAAGCCTGGGAGGTCAAAAAGAAGTCTCAGAAAGAGTGGCAAACCACTTTGGTATTGCTGCAAATAGAACCACAGGTTGTTGTTG